TATATAAAATATAGAAGTGCATGTACATATACATATATACGTATATAATTAAAGTACTTTTTAAAGTAATACTGTAAAATTCTTTAAAGTAACACATATAATTTTAGAACTAATGAACATTCCTTTAAATTTTTCAGTAATTGGTTTAATCTTGCCTAGGCTGTAGTGTTCAGTCATAATTTCTTTGGAATCTGTTATTACTCGCAAAAATCTTATAATAGAAAGAGATTCAGGTATTTTTGTCCCAGACTCACAAATACACACAGTTTTGAACATCTTTAAGACAAATTCAATTATCCTAAAGTATCAAAAATGATAAGCAATTATTTTAATTTACATACACAGTTAATGTTACAGTCTACGCCCTCACAGTGTCTGAAGAGTTAAGTCACAGGAATATTTTCTGCCCCCTTCACACAACCAGAAACTGTGTTTCAAAGATATTAAATAATTAGCTGAAGGTCAGGGATAGAATAAAAGGTTGAGATATAAAAATACTAATTACCCCTATTTGATCAGTATATGTTCTCTGCATATGTTGAATATTATGTTATACCCGTTAAAAGTACAATATTACATGTTAATAAAAGCTAAATCTTTTTAAAAATTGTATTTCCCCAAATACACATGGTAGAATATTTTCTTCAACTATAGCATGCTTCCTTCATAGAGCATATTATTTCCCACGTTTGGAAAAGCTTTCTCAATCAAACCAGTGTGTGTTGCATTATCATTTCAGTACCTTCTATTTCCAAATCTGTATTTTTTCCTTTTTCAGCTATATTCCCATAATTTTAGTGGTTGTTAATCTAATCATCCTTCAAAGTGGGAACAGATTATTAATGAGATTGCATTTGCCCCACAGAACCTACTTTTCCCAAATCAACCCCAGCAGCCCAACAGTCGATGTTCTGTGTCACCAGCTGGAGACCTCACAATCACCAACATTCAACGTTCAGATGCCGGCTACTACATCTGCCAGGCCCTGACTGTGGCAGGAAGCATTTTAGCAAAAGCTCAACTGGAGGTTACTGATGGTGCGATATTGCTATTAATTTGTCTCATGAAAATATTTTTATTTCAAGATAATATTAATCGTGTGAATTTTTATGATTCATTGAATAATTTAGATCAATGCCTATTTTTTAAGTTTGAATCTAGGCAAAGTAATATTTTCAAGTAGTATTTAATTCTCTCTGAGTTAATACTGTTTATAATCTTCAAAAAGGACATCAAATGCAATGTTTTAATCTAAAAGATACAGTGATGCATTATTTTAAAGCAAAGCTGTCTCACTGTGTTTAGAAATGTAATCTGTATTTTATTTAATCTTATAATGACATGACTACTTCTAATGGATATTAATAATTTTATTTTACTGAAAGAGGAGGAAATATCATCTTTAATTTTACCCATGTAAGAGTTGAGTTTTTAGATAGCTAATCACATTTTGACATTTCTGTGACTTTAATTATATATTCACTAAGTTAAATTAATTAAATAACTTCTGAAGTCCTGATGAATGCTAAAATTAATATTTTTACTTGCACTTATGCACTTCGAATCTAAATTGAGGTACTTACATTCATGGTGAAAGTTGAAAATGATCTACTTCTTTCTCAACAGTATGTCACAATTGACAACTACAGCATCTTAGATATTTTGTGAACCTCCGAGATTGAAATTAAAAACCATTCTTTGATTTCTTAAAATAATTAAAGATCATTTTTTGCTGTCATATATTTCTGAGATATTTCTGGTATTTTCAGCCTTAATGTTGGAATATATAAGCTGAAATATAAAGGCTTTAGTGTGTGGCCTGATTCTTTCTCTGTTGGTAAAATTTCAATGCTTTCACACAATTCAAATTTATATGTGGATTAAAAGGTCATTTAAAATTAATAGAAAGACAGTGTTCTTTAGTATCTATCCCTGGTATGACCTGATTCAGCATCATGTCAGGAGTGGGAAAAAACAGCAGAGACAAAAACATTGGCTGCAGGCATTAACGGCTGCACCTGCTGATGCTGCAGAGATTTACTGCTATAGAGCTGAAAGGAGAAGACAGGTTCAAGGGTAACAGTGGTGAGCAATTCTTCCTCATATCCACAAGATCTTTGTTCTCTTATACCTCCATATGTCTTTAAAGGAGCAAAACATAATTATTAGTCTTTTTCAGGTTCCACTTTCTATCAGCAAAAATTCTAGATACACATATATGGAAAATATGATACTTGGGCTAAAGCCTATCAGACTATATTACTACAAAACATTTTCAAACATAATATTTAATATATCAGCTATAATATAGAATCAACAAAAACAAACTCTATATCTAAATGAACATTTTTATGGAAAAGGAAAACCATATTTGCAGATATTTGTAGAAAACAAAATGGGTAAATTAAATAGATCATTTATGTAACTGATAGGGTTCATGAAAAAATGGATATTCTGAATCATGTCTGAAGCAATGAAAAGGAAAATTGTTTGAAATTTGTGTTAGTTGATGATATTTGACAACTAGCTTTGCTTTGGAGGTCAAAATTAAAAGAGTGATGGCCAAGTTTAAATTTTTTGATGACTGAATGTCTCTGAACATTTTTTACAACTGGATTGAATAGTAATTCCTTCATTGATCTTTACATAATGAAGCAATCAAAATATTAAAATCCTTTTTACAGAAACGTTTATTGGAGTTTATAGAACTATTGATTTCAATAGCTAAAAATCTCACTTTTACACACACACACACACACACACATATATTTATCATAATCTGTCTCTAAATGTTAAATTGCCACATTGACTAATGATTTCAGCTTTCATTCATAGTTTAGATTTTTTTCCATATTGTTAATGCTTTAATAATATTTGAGCCATCATTTTAATTTTTCATATATTTTTGCATATTCCAACTGAAATTCCATTGTAGAATGAAAATACATGTCACAGTCAGAGAAACAAATACAAATTCAATCTAGAGAGATTTTTCTACTGTTATATTTTTGCTATTAGATTCATATCCTGGGAATATTTTAAATTCAAGCAGTCATATAAGATGATATTGCTAATGGTGAGAGTCAGCACCATGTTTAGTAATTTATCAATTATGAATTGAACTAAGACATTGAAATTCACTTTCCAAATAAATTCCTGAAAGATGTTACTTATATACTGGTACTGTTTTTTACATTGCTCCTTTATTCCCTACTCTTTTTCTCTTAAGCAAGTTAGAAAATTTTAATGAAAAATCTGTGGATAGAGCAGTTAGAATCTAAAAGGACTGGAAAGTTGAAATATATTTATATCTTATGGTGACAATAAATGTCACACCATGATCTGCTATGAATCATTTATTGAGGATTTATACTGCATAGTTAGAGAAGACTGTGGAGTTGTTCACAGATCACTGGAAACCCTAAATGTTCATTTAAACTTTGACCTTAGTGACAGAGAAACCTGTGGTCATATTTCACTGAGAACGTCTTTGAAACTGAAAATTCCTAGCTAGGAGGTTGTCAATTACCTTATTGATCAAAGTCATGAAAAGGGAATGAGCTTGTCTTTTAGATAGAAAAGAGTCAGCGAGAGAGAGAGAGAGAGAGAGAGAGAGAGAGAGAGAGAGAGAGGGAGAGAGAGAGGGAGAGGGAGGGAGAGGAACTAGATAAACTTTGGCTTTATTTAATGATTTTAGAAATATAGCAATAAAAACAGGTTATAAAATATTCCTATAATTCTATATTAACATGTAACTCAAAACAAATAACATTGAAGACTTCAAAAATAAATTGTACTCTAATAATGGAGACTTATTTCCCTCTAAATTAAAAAATATATTTTATTTATAAGGTACTTTGAAGTGGTCTTCAAATTTTGACTAATAAAGGAATTCCATAAAACTTTCAGCTTGAATTTATTTTTGCCTAATTATTGCTATATGTATCAGAATTATAATACTATGTTCCCGCATCTCAAGATTATTTTATTTACTTCTAAAATGAAGAGTGTGAACAAGAAAACCAGTGAAATAAGTTGCTCTGGCTTTAGTTTGTGAACAATAAATAACTGTTTTGTGATTTTTTAAATAGGTTTTCTGACTGATTCAGTAGATTTAGGTTGATTGGAGCCAATCAAGGACTATATATAATAAACTTAATTTAAATTATAATTGGTTTCATGAAATGTTTTGAAGGGCCTTATAATTTTAATGATTTCTTCCACAATTCTGAATTCAAATAATAAAGATGGTGTATACACATTAGCAAATAGTCCTGTTAACTGATGTTTTTAAAAGCTAGAAGACAAAGGAATTTAGAGCATCAAGCAAAATAAGTTAACTTCCTGATTATGTGCATTGTAATGCAAGATGACCTTTTCAGAAGACCATTTCTCATCACAGTTGCCAAGCAGTACTTGGAATCTATATCTGTGTATCATTAAAAATTTAGCGATAATTAATCAAAACCTGTGCTCTATAAACTGTTACAAAACTTTCTCTTAAGAAATCCGTCATTGGAACTAGCCATTTGAATTTGATTTTATTGAATTTTTACTGAAACTTTACCTTTTTTTTTTTCTTTTTGCTCTGGGGATTGAACTCAGGACCTTGCTCTTGTGAGGAACCACTGAGCTAAGTCCCCAGCCTTCCTTCTTTTAACTGCATATTTCCACATACCATTTAAATAATGGTAAGCATTCAGATGTGCTGTTTGGGTGATTCTTAAATAGTTTTGAAGGTATGGAAAATACTGCTGCAATAATTATTTTTTAAACAAAAACTTACAGCGGGCTGGGGATTTAGCTCAGTGGTTCGGTGGCCTGCCTTGCAAGCACAAGGACCTGAGTTCAATCCCCTGTACCAAAAGCAAAAAACAAACAAAAACTTACAGCACTAAAAGATTATGAGAATGTTGAAAATTTCCCAAAATGAACACAGAAATTTTAATACATATATAAACATATTTTATATGAAATTTGTCTTAGTCATATCATAGAGTCTTACTAGATTGCTTTACTTTCTGTAACTATATGTACTAAATAAATAAAATCATCTATGACCATAATTTGAAGAACTAGTATCACGATCTTGGAAGTACATTTTTATACTTAATAATTTAAAGTCAACAAATTTTTCAGCTAATGCACACACTGAAATTATAAGGAGTGAATTACAAAATTGTGCATATGTTTAAAATGAAAGTAAAAGGAGAGATTGATTCTACTTATAAGAGCCTCCAAGGGCTTTCTAAAGGATGCATAAGAGAGATAAAAGGGTTTTTTTTATGAAAGACTGCTATAAACTATTAATTTTAATTTTAATTTTTATATAGCTGAGCCTTTTAATACAAATAAACTTTTCTAAAATATCAGAATTTATCCCATTATCATTTTAGTTATAGTTAAGATAGAATAAGTTATGAATAATAGTTTGGTCTTAGTGCAGTACTTCTACAGGTATTTATAATAGTACAGATGGGAGCTCTTTGATAGGTATTTAATATATAGAATAAATTATGAGAAATATGAATGGCTTCGAGGTTTTAACTTTTTATTCAATAACCATATCCCAAACTACTGAATGTCACAAAAATAGAAATATCCTGATTATGCTTTTATTCTTTAGTTCTGACAGATAGACCTCCACCAATAATCCTACAAGGTCCAGTAAACCAAACACTAGCGGTCGATGGTACAGCATTACTGAAATGTAAAGCCACTGGTGACCCTCTTCCTGTAATTAGTTGGTTAAAAGATGGATTTACTTTTCTGGGTAGAGATCCAAGAGCAACTATCCAAGAGCAAGGCACACTGCAGATTAAGAATTTACGGGTAAGTAATATTTGATTTGTTCTTTAATCTTCATCTTAGCATAAATACTGCTCCAACGAAGTACTGTTTGATGAACTTAGAATCTTATATTTCAGTGTAATTGCTGCACATTTTATATACGTCGTGTCATTCCTTACTTTAAAAATGATTAATTGACATTACAGGAGAGGTTATTGTCCTTATTTTACTCACAAACTCATAACAGACTTAGAATCTTTTTTTTCCAGTATCCTATTTTTTTCTAGTATCCTATCTTGTATGTATTAAATCATTGAAACTTGAAATCTTACACCAGTTAAAGTTAATAATAGTAGTTTAGATAGTTAAAGTTTTTGAAAGGAAGATTGTGGAGAAATATAGATAAATTGGATTGGCCAATTTTATAGTTGTATGAAATGAATAAAGATGAGACTGAGTATATAGAAGGAAGATTTGGCTAATCAGAGGAAGCCCTCAGATTTTAGGTTAAATTGCTACAGGTTTTACATTTAAATCCCTGAATGAGAACAAGTCATTGGTGGTCTTTAAACGAAGTTTGTCTGAAAGGCAATGACTATTCTTAGAAACTTAATAAACTGGATCTGTTTCAAGGACAACTCAAAATAAAATGTGTGCTTCTAAATATTATATAAATTATCTATTACCATGTAACAGTATTAGCATAAACAGGTTTAAAGTAATGCATAGTTATTATCTGGCAGATTGTGTGAATTAGAAGCATGGCCATGACTTAGATGGGTCTTCTACTTTAGGGGTTCATAGAACTACATGATTAAGGTCATGATTTTGTCTGATGACTGACAAAGGATTGATTTTCTTCCAGGTCACAAGGTTGTTGGGAGTTTAGTACAGAGTTCCTTGTGACTACTTCATTAACAACCTCAGCATCTTGCTGGCTGTTGGTCGGAGGCTGCCTTTAGTCTCTATGTGCATTTTTGTGATATGACTGTGTATTTCTTCAAAGTCAGCAAGGAAAAGTCTTCTAGCAAGATGGACATTACAATTGTGTGTAAAAAAATCACAAGCATATGCTGAACAAATTCTGAAACTTTGACATAGTCTATTGGACAGGAGGAAGTAAAAAAAAAATCCCATTTATACTTCATTCAGGTGAAGGATTATAGAAGGTGGGAAAACTAGACGGATGTTAATATGAAGGATTCTGTCCTCTACCAGTACATTCAACTCATTCAACCAAGTATAGTCAATCTACCCTGACCTGACCCATGTAGCATGCACTGTCCTAAGCTATCATAATCACAAAACTGAAGATGAGAGCCAGAACTAAGGTAGTTGGTGTAAAAAATGCATGAAGACAAAATGCTTGAAAATGATTTGGTGCAAATACAACTGGAAGAATCTAGTGCCCGGGTAAAAATTAGGGTCCAAGATGAGTTTTCACTTTCAGGATGCAGTGAGGAAGGTAAAAATGTTTTACTACATGTACGTTTGTATGAAGAGGTTCATACTCTGAGGGTGGAAGTACATTTACAATTACAGTTTACCAAGTTTTTATTAGTTTATCATGAAGATGCAAAGGGAAGGACGATTCAAACACACATATAAATAAAATGTAATATAATAATGTATATATGATTTTAATTATGATTTGGAGGCATGAGCATGAATTTTTTTCACTAAGAAAACTGCTGGCAAGTTTAATTGAAGGCAAATAAATTAATAATACTCTTTTTAGTCTTTTTATTGTTTGTAAATTAGTCACTAACTTTCTGTGAATATTTGGAAGTTATTAAAAAATTAATGCCAACTCTCCTTATGCAAACACTTTAACTTCTCTCTGTGGGCGGAAGGCCGACTTGGGCCATGGAAGGTAATGCGTTTTCACTGTTTTACTGAGTTAGACAGTGTGCTTGAATAACGAAGATTCCTAGTAAATTTTGAAAGAAGCAATAAAGGTGGGTGCTTGATTGTGTCAAACTTTGAGCCCTCTGACAGTCTTTTGAGTAGTCTGTTTTTGAGATTTCAGCTCTGGAAGGCTTAACTGCAGTTAACTAAGGACAAAAGTATGGGATGGACTCTGCTACCCATTAATCTCTTTTTAAAGCAACTTGTTAGGAATTAGAGGATAAGGAGAGGAAAGAATTGAAGGATTACTGACCAAAATCAAAACAAAAGCAAAATCAAATACCAAAAATGCTTGAAGTTAAAACAATGAACATGAATATGATGATTGAAGCTATTGTGATACAAGAGTGAAATTCAACAAATGACATTTAGGCATTTAAAATCACAAACTCTGAATATATATATATATACATATATAT